GATTTAATTTTTCTTTATTAATTTTCAGAATAATAGTTTCTTAGCCTCTTCCAGATATGACAACTGAGTTGTTCTTAGCATTATTATAAATGATAAACAGTATCCTATATAATAAAAGCCTAATATGCTAAGTGTCCAGTCATCCGGTCGTCCGGTTGTCCGTTCAACCAATCAAAGCGTAAAATGCTAATGATATGCTAAGGCTGCTTAACTGCTCACTATGATGTGCACAGACCACCACAGGGCAGATAGTCGACTAGTCGACCAGTTGCTATGACAATGCACTGACCACCAGGAGGCAGATGCTCCAACCAATAGGTTAGCTTGCTGCTGGAGTCCAGCCAATCGGGACTGAGTGAGACGGGGCCAGACACGTCCTAAAGCCCTCCCACGGTCCCTCCCCAGCTGGCCAACCTCCTGTGTCCCTCCCCAGCTCTGATTGTGCACTGGTGGGGTACCTCAGCCTGGCCTGCACCCTCTAGCAATCCGGTACCCCTCAGGGAATGTCAGAGAGCCAGTTTTACCTCAATCCCACAGGCCAGGCCAAGGGACCCCACTGGTGCAGGAATTCGTGCACCAGGCCTCTATTTATCATTATAAACCCTCAAAAGATTTATAATTCTGGTGGAGAAACAAAATTAACAGACACAGATCCACAGGACACTCATATATAGAGCAGTACAGAGATTGAGGAGGTTGGCTCTGGAGTCATATAAACCTATTTAAATCCTATTTCTGTAATTTATTTTCTGTGTGACCTTAAGCCAGTTACTTAACTTCTCTGAGTTTCAGATTCCTCATTTTTAAAATGGGGATAATATAGGCTACCTAAAAGATTTTTTTTTTTTAGTAATATAGTGCCTGGAATATGGAAACTCTTCAGTAACATTAAAGTATTTAAACTGGAGAAATTCTCTCACATAAATATAAGGAGTTATCAGGTATGTGTTGTTTCTAGGACCTTGCATTTTCTTTCTTTTACATATATTTTACTGATTTTTTAAAAAATATATATTTTATTGATTTTTTACA